CGATTAGTCGATTAATTGGTCGGTACGTTCTGGTTCGACCAAAATTCTGATTGGTCGATTTTTTGCCGCATTCATTTAATCAGTTTTCATTTCATCAGTTTTGCCGCGCTTCATCAGGTGGAAACCACTAATTGCTAATGGGGGTGTTTTCAGAGCACCCCTGTTTCACAGGTAATAGTCTGTCTTAAGAACACCCCACTTGTTTTTACTTTTTTGGATTTGCCCAACCCACCGGAGGAGAAGAGAGACAGATAAGTAAGCTATAGAAGGTTTGATGCTAAACAGGCCTATTATTTATCTATAATTAACTGTGAGAGTGTTTAATAGTCCAACAAAGACATCGACAGTGTGGAAGCACTTTGTTAAAATTGACAACGGGAAAAAGGTTCAATGCAAAATTTGCAACCAACAGTTTGCCTTCCACAGCTCGATGACAAACATGACGTACCATCTAAAAGCGGTAAGCTAACTTGTCTGCGTTAGGTTGCCCTGTCTGTATTTTGAGTAGGCTATATGAACATATCAAAATTCGAATTATTTCAATGTTTTAGTGTAATAATCATTTTATAAATGCAGGCGCATCCATCCATAATGACGGCATCCCCCAGACACACCCAGAGCACGCTGGATTTTAAGCCTCCTTTATCATCCAAACGGAAAAATAATATAACGGAAGGAATTGTTAACTTTATTGTTCAGGATATGAGGCCCATTGCTGTTGTGGAGGGCCAAGGTTTTAAGAACTTGTTAAAAGTTTTGGAACCTGGATATACCGTGTCAGCACGCCACACAATCACGCATGCACTAACCGCAAAATATGAGGGACTCAAAGAGAAAGTATCAGAGTTAATACAACACAGCGAGGGACTGAGCTTGACCACAGATATGTGGACATCTCTTAGAATGGAGTCCTATATGACAGTGACTGCCCATTTCATTGATGGAGACTGGAAAGCACAGAGTCTAAACATTGCTGCGCGACTATCTGAAGTTGCTGATACCTTTGGAATTCAAGAAGCAAAGAGAGTTTCTGTTGTATGTGACAACGCGGCTAATATGGCACTCTGTGTGGAAACACTAAAGGAATCACATAATTAAACATTAAAGTGGATGTGCCTTTTGTGTTTATTAAGAGCAAAAACTTTAAGTTAATCTATTCGTGTCTGCCGCCGCTCAGCTGAGCTGCGCTCTGCTGAAATGATCATAGTGTCTAATAAACTTATTATTATAACATATGACAAAAATAATTGTCTAAATGATGTTGCATATTCCTCAACAATTCTTGTGATGATATCACTAATTGACAAGCAACATAGTACTATTTTCGTAAATCGTAGGCTATGATATTGCGCAGGTGCACGTGACACATTGCTGTCAAAGCCGACAGACTCATTTAGTGCAAAATAATTAGATAAAAAACGATTTAATAAACTGCAAATAGCCTACTATTTTTTTAATGTTTATTTACAATTGATTTAGGCGGACAACAAGGCTACCAAGTACTGCGCACAGTGCACAGCTGACTAATTTAAAAAAATAATAATTAAGTCATTTTTAGTCGAAAATTTCAGGACTTTAGTCGACCAAGATTTTCTTTGGTTGATTACAGCCCTAGAAATAATTATATTTATTTTCTACATATTTTAGTCAAGTATTGCTTTATTACAGAGCCCCTGAAGTTACACAAGTTAGCACTAATATAACTATAAAACAACAAATCCTAATAAATTCTATAATAATGTGTCAGGAGACTCTTGATTCAGTGTGGCCAGAGGTGCATAAACATGCAGTGTTTTCCAGTGTCTCTGCGAGAGGACAGACAAACACTAGACATGTCCATTTACCTGACACAGAGAAATCAGTCCACACTAACACAATGCAGTTCTTATTTGTGTCCAGCTGCTGCGTGTCTTTCTGCTGTGCCTGCTGGCCCTCCACCAGTGTCTGGCCATGCCAGTGGGCAGCCAGTGTGTGGACGAATCCTTCTGTACATTCAGCCTGCAGGACTACTACAGCCAGATGGTCAACCTGCCCAACCGCATCAATGAGCGCAGCATCGCAACCTGGAGCTACGTGTGAGTATGATGAATTAATTCATTGACTTGATTGACAGAAAATTCCAAACACTGGCTGGTTCAAGCTTCTCAAATGTATTGATCTGCTGACTCTTTTACGTTTATATCATTTTAAATTTAGGCACTGATGGAAGTACTTAGATATTTTACTTAAGTAAAAGTAGCAATACCGTTGTGTAAAAGCAATCTCTAAAAGCAATCTGTAAAAGTCTTACAACCAAGAAGTCACATTTGAATTACTTTATATACTGTTGGATAGTTCAATCTATAGCACAGTATCAAATATTATAAATTCATCAGGTTTTGAATACAATACTAGTCTGAAAAGTAATTTGTGACTCAAGCTGCCAGATACATTTAGTGGAGTAAAAAATATAATATTTCCATCTGAATTATAGTGGAGTATTAGTAGTGAACTACTCAAGTACATTAAAAGTACCTCAAAACCGTACCCAAGTACAAGTCCACCACTGAATTTAGGATTTTGATTTTTGGTCAGACAAAAAAAATGTAAGGATGTCCAAACATTTAATATTTCAAGCCAAACTGATGAAACTTCCCCAGTTCCAGCTTTGCTGTTTTCTATCACTGTAAATTGAATCTCCTTGGGATTTGTACTGTTTGGACAATACAAGTCATTTGGACAGGTGAAACTGCATTCTGGGAAATGGTAATAAACATGGTTTACTATTGTCTGGCATTTTACAGAAAAAACAATTAACTGAATAATTGAAAGAATAATCAATATTGACAATCGTTAGTTATCAACAGACCAATGACATTCTCAATTAATCGATTGTTTGGTCTAAAAAAAGCCAATTTCCTACAACTAAAGATGACGTTTTCAAATCTCTTGTTTTGTTTGACCAACAGTCCAAGACTCAAAGAAATTCACAGAAGCCTAAACAAAGTAGAATAAATGATACGAGAAGCTGGAAGCATGGATTCTTTTTTTGCATTTTGTTAAATCAGGGTAGGATAGGTAAGACATGTCTGGCAGTTGACTAATTGATTGACCAATCATTTCAGCACTAGATTTTCAATTGAATGAATTTGCATTCATTCGCATTGCCTGCCCCTGATCCTCATCTCTCACCAGGGAGAACATCGACTTGAACAGGGTGCCCCAGGTCATTCATGAGGCTACCTGCCACACCAGCCACTCCTGCAGGGGACTCGACAATGCTTTTGGACTAGAGACCATCCCTGTTTCTCTAAGGATGCCTGTCCTCAAGAAAAACCCCAGCTGCTTCCCACAGGGCAGCTACTCTCTGGAGTTTGAGCTAATTACCATAGCGTGTTTATGTGCCATCTCCAGGCGCAGCTGATGTGACTGCTCTGATGTCAACTCAGGACCTCGGAGAGCCTGAAGAATGTGTTTGTTCTGAGGGAACTTGGATGGAAATGATGGGTGTTCATTTCACTCACTGTTTTTCATTAAACATTGAAAATGTCACCATTTAATACATGCTTGTTAACGGCTTATCATATTAAGACATTTTTCATTAACTGGTATCACTGTAGTGTTCATATGGAGTATTTTGGCAGCCTGGTTGCTACAAGCTTTTTCGGAATAAGCATTTATGTCGTCAACAGAGGAAACTATTAAGTATTCTCCACTAAAACACACTAAAGTTGTCCACAGTACAATTCAGTAAGTCCTTCTTCAAGGTACTAAAAGGACCATGTGTAAATGCGTATCAGTAATTTAGCAGTGATTCTCATGGATTTGGTAACGAAGATGTGTTTACCTTTACCAATAGTCAACTGAAAGTGTCATATGTTTAGGCGTAACGTTACGTTCACAGGGAAGCAAGCAACGCGCCAGGGTTGACTTGACTGGAACGCACCATAACTAATAATAACTAATAATGATCATTCAAACAGATTTTCACTTCTAACTTTTTAAACTTCTAAGTTGTTTCACTGTATTCTATCACAAAGCGACATGCTATGTGACGTTCCTGTTGCCGTTAGCCTGTCGTTCAGTCTTAAATCAAAGTCTCACTCTTATTACATAACTAATTATAAAGTCGTACCCACCTTTAGAGAGGATTTTGGCAATCGACTGAGCCAACGAGGGCTTCTCTGCCACCATCAAAACAGTTCTCATTTTGAAAGGAGTGCTAACCGGTCCTCTGTCAAACTCCAGGCAGTCACCTCGTAGGTGTTAGCACTTAAAGCTGTGGTCTAACAATCTTAAACTTGATCAATAAGTGCCAGCAATAACGACTCCACTATAAAGAAAAATGTTAATTTTGCATATAACTTCTCACTAATAGGCTTTAGGCTACGCTATGAACCACGAGAGCGGACATGACAGTTTACACATTATTCTCTTCCGGTGTGTTGCCGGGTGCAGAAAAAAGCCGATCCGTTCTGCACATGCGCGTCCTGCCCAGCGAGTTTTAAAATAACTTTATTACCAGCACAACTTCGCACAAATATGACACAAAACAATACGAATTGGCTACACAACACAGACAATATTTGAGAAAAAAATACATAAACTAATCACCAAACACAAACAGAAATAAAATTGTATAAAAATAAAATCGAGTTTACGTAACTGAAAACAATTAGCAGTTCACAAGAACAGCTTTTGAATCCGCACACCAAGTCGAGTTAACAATTGTTTTCCTAACAAATTATCTCATTTGTGGTCTGATAAACATTAAGTTAATCAAAAACAGTGCTCCATATCAGTAGTTTCAACTAAATCAATGAATAAAGCTATAATAAAGTTGTGTTTTTGTACAATAAGGCTTGGTTGCCAAAAACAACAGGGACACCAACTGTTGATGAGATTATAAATTAACCTGATGAATCATATTCAAGGGTTTTTAATCAAAAAAGTTTAAATCTCGATTGTTATCTTAGGCAATAATCACTGCTAAACGCTCCAGTAAGGAGTGTGTATCAATGTTAAAATTAGCTTACATTAGCTTTATTCTATAAACATTAACCCCCATACTACAATAATGAAGAAAAAATAAAGAATTATCAAACACAGAATCGATGACTCCATCTCAAACATAATATGTCTGAGACCACTTATTTACAGGCGGTAGTGGCAAAATGGGACACCATCCATCCATCCATTGTCAACCGCTTATCCTGCATACAGGGTGGGGGGGTGGGGGGGGGTGGGGGGTGCTGGAGCCAATCCCAGCTGACATCGGGCGAAAGGCATGGTACACCCTGGACAGGACGCCAGTAAAATGGGACACCTTAGCTGTTATTTAAAACACAGAGAAATGAAAGAAGATAAGTAATTTCAACCAAATAATGACAATACAACAATACACTTGAGGTAGACTACCTTTGTGAAACAGTAAAAAAGTATTTAGCCTTTTTTTGCACTTCTCTTTTGAAAAAAATTAATCCAGGCTTTCAAACAACACCATGCTAAAATTAGAAAAACAATATATAGGCCTACTGCTACATTTAACATGAAAGTAAGGCACAAACCTTTCTAGGCCTATAGAGTTAAGAGGGAGGGTAATGGTAGACCCATAAGAAGACAAATTCAGCATGTAAAAAGACACTGTGAACAAGTGAATTTTTCTGCATCTTCATTCACGCCAATTTATGGCATTGGCTTCTGAAATTTATATGAATATTGGTAGGTTATTCATTTATTTAAAAGTATTTATATAATATTTATTTAAAATATTATTAAAAAATAGATGGCCTGGTGGATAGCACTGTGGCCTCACAGCAAAAAGGTTACGGGTTCAAACCCCAGTTGTCCCAGCCTTTCTTTGTGGAGTTTGTATGTACTCCCTGTGTCTGTGTGGGTTTCCTTCGGGTGCCCCGGTTTCCCCCGCCCTCAGAAACATGTTAGGTTCTCCCATCAGTACCATTGACCAATGACACTGGCTCAGATCTGGAGTTGCTACACAGTGGTTGCCCATGGCTCCCTTGAAGGATGGGTTAAATACTGAGTTGCTAAGTGTATGTGACAATAAAGCATACCTTACCATATATTACTTTTTGTTTGTGTCTGCACACATGCACTGTGCTGATATTAATAAAGGCTCACAGTTATCACTGCAGAGCAGCATGTTTTCTCTCTATAGCTGTTCACCAAACACCTGCACATGAATAACAACATGCATTCTATATTTATCCTGCTCTGAGGCACAGGATAATTTCTACTGGCAGAATGCCTTTATAGTATTTATTCATTATCTGCATCTTTATTTTTTGATATTAGGATTATGAATTCATTATTTAATAACCAAGAATATGATTATGGGATCTTTTGAACATTGGAAATCTTTTTTTTTGGCCAAAATGTTTCGGGAGAAATCAAAATGATGTAACTCATATCAAACCCAGTGCTCAGAAATTAGCAGCCTGGAAATGGAAATGACAATAAATTGTGTAAAAAGTGTTTATTTTACAAGTTTTGAATCTCCTATCCTCTCTGACTTATATGTGTTTCCACAATAAAAGTTAATTGGACAAATAATAGATCATGAAAAGAATATCACTAGATGGAGAATCAAGTCACATATTTAACTTGAGAGTGATCAGAAATCAGAAAAGTAGTTTTTACATGTACAAGGAATTTGTTTTGGAGATAAGGTGCTACACGTAGACAAACAAAGGCAAACATACAGTTGACATAAATAAATGTAGTATATAAATATCGGATAGATTGACAAAAATATAGAAGAATAACGATTAACACTTAACAATGAAGAACAAATATGTGCAATATACTGGGTATGCACAATGATGTGAAATTAAATAATATTTACATGTGCAAAGATATATAGTATTTGAGAGGGGGGAGGTGTCAGTGAGGGACCCTTGTTAATGAGGCTAGCTGCAGAAGGGTAGGAGCTGTTTTTGTGGCACGAGGTTTTGGTCCTGTTGGACCGCAGCCTCCTGCCAGAGGGGAGTGACTGAAACAGTTTGTGTGGGGTCAGCTGCAATCTTTCCTGCACGCCTCAGAGTCCTGGAGGTGTACAGGTCCTGAAGAGTTGAAAGATTGCAGCCAATCACCTTCTCTGCAGGCCGAATGATATGCTGCAGCCTGCCCTTGTCCCTGGCAGTGGCAGCAGAAAAAACAGATGGTGATGGAGGAAGTGAGGATGGACTCAATGATGGCAGTGTAGAAGTGCACCATCAGTGTCTTTGGCAGGCTGAACTTCTTCAACTGCCGCAGGAAGTACATCCTCTGCTGGGCCTTCTTGGTGAGGGAGGTGATATTCATCTCCACCAAAGATGAACCCAAGGAGGGTTTTGTCATCCGCAAACTTCTGACAGACACTGTAAGTCAATACATTCCCCAGACTCTCAAACCAGTATAACATTATAACTAAATAAAACTGTAACGTTACATGATCAACAATAAACCTGCAACCTGTTTGCAGCCAACGGTAATAATGTGATGGCAGACAGCGGGACGTAAATGATTACGTTAATCGACCACCACAAATTTGGCAAGTGAACAAACGCAAATTTGTCTTTTCATAACGGACGACAGTCGGCGCTAACTCCCCGTAGGTCATAGCTAAAGCAAGAAGCAAGCTAACGTTAGATGGCCAATACTGAGCTAAACATGTTTACTAACCTCAGGTTACTAACCTATTTTGCGTTCAGCCCTTCTTTTGTTTGGACCTTGTTGTATGAAGTTTTAAAGTCAAAGTTCATGATGAATGGCACAGCAGCTGCCAGTGTTTGTTGTCCTCTCACACATGTGGCCGCGCGCAGCAGACGTAAACAGTTTCAGCTGAGGATTGCGGCTTACTTTGGCTAGCCTCAACTCAAAAATCAATCATGATTTCAGTTAAATGCTAAAGTTGCTGTTACTGTTATCTTGTCTATGGTCCGCTGGCATAACACCGGGTGCTTTTTGATCAGGCGCCATCCTGCTGTTGCGGTGACGTAAGTTTCGTTTTACGTTGGATAGACTGTAACATTACGCCATGCTGTTGCGGTAGGCCACATAATTTTCGTTTTATGGTGGACGGACTGTAATATTACACACAGTTGTTGTTTTCTTTTAGCTTGAAATAATCCCATATCCAACGAAGGTTGAGGTCAAGGGCAACTGGACTTGGTTGAAGATACTACAAGACGTTTCGTCCCTTTCATCCAAGAGACTTCATCAGTTCTGACTGACTGTAGGGAAACTCAGCTATTTAACCTCTGTGGGATTGTTTGCTAGGATCGTTGATACCGCTGATTCGTTAGTGCTCCTGGCTGTTGTAACGACAATCGTCATGGTCGTTAGAGCCACCCGTGGCCAAGTCTGAATCACAATGTTGTTGCGTATAGTATTGATCCGTGTGTGTGGGTTTCCTGTAAAATTTGCAGGCTCCTGTCCTCTTCAATGTGTACAGCACAGTCCAAGAAAGCCAAACTGTTGTGGACATCTTCTCGTGTGAACTTGATGTTACTGTTCACAGTCATTGAGAAAGTATTTGCAAAGTGTAGGAAGAGAGAAAAAATAGCGAGGGATGAAAAAGAAGTATGGGATTATTTGATGTCTGTGAAGGTTCTCAGTCATCCAGGTCATAGTTATCGACTCCTGAAATAACGCTGATATTTAATAATAATGCTTGATATTTTGTCCTGATTCAGAAAAAAAACAGTCTCAACATACCTTAACATTAAGCTTCAATGTGAAATAATGTAAAACAAAACAAAACCAAAAAAATATTCTGAAATTAATTACAAAATTATAAAAAATTAATTTACAAATAAGGTTAAGGAGGGTTTCTGGTGTTCTTTTGGTTGACTTTTCTTCACCTATATACACATAGTAAAATCGCTCCAGACTGAAAAACACTGCCCTTCAAGGCTTACTGGGGACTGTTCCTAATTTTGGCCACTAGAGAGCAATAAAGGATTGCTCTAGTATCTCTCCAGTGGTCTTATAGTAGAGAAATGAACATTTAATTCATGGGGAACAGCTCCGGTGGACATTCAGCATGCCAGGCTCCCTCAAAACTTGTGACATCTGTGCCATTGTGCTGTGTGATGGGACTGCACATTTCCGAGTTGCCAGCCTAAGGCACACCTGTGCAACACCCATGCTGTCTGATCAGCTTCTTGATATGCCACGCCTGTGAGGTGGATGGATTATCTCGGCAAAGGAGAAGTGCTCACTAACACAGATTTTGACAGATTTGTGAACAATATTTGAGAGAAAAAGGCCTTTTGTGTACATAAGGAAAGTCTTATATCTTTGAGTTCAGCTCATGATGAATGAAGGCAAAAACAAAAGTGTTGCATTTACAATTTTGTTGAGTGTATATTTAATATGTGAACAAACACAATATTCTGGTGGACTGACAGTAAAGAGATGGGAAATGACCAGACTGCTTGCGTGACCTTGAACAGTGAAGCCATGTGGTCAGTTCTGTGATTCACCATTTACAATCACTGAAATCACATCTGTGGGGACATTCATTATTTCACCCATTTCATTCATCTACTCCATACTTTTCTATGGGCACCGGCTGGGTCAGTGAGGGAGAAGATGGAGAGGTCTGTGTGGGGCCAAGGGGGGCGGGGAGGCTTGCCTTTTCCTCATCTTTTGGGATGGTGATGGGATGTTGACCCCCAGGCAGATGGTTTGAGGAGAGAATGGTGTGTGTGTCTGGCTTCATCCATCCCCTCCTCCACTCTTCAAAGTGGGTAATCAATTAAACAGTTCCCCCTTAACCCTCCCACCCCCCACTGTCCATTAAGTAAGCAGATCTCCCTGAGCAGCTGCAGGCCTATGATTATGACTCCATGGGGTGTTTTGCATAACCTGGGGAGAGGGGACTTGAGCTGTAGGTTGGCCTTGGGTCTCGATCGCACTATATAAATACATTTACATGCCTGTGTACACTGAACTACTTTGTTATGTTTAGTAAACATCTACAAAACTGTATAAACCATCATGTGGCACTGAATTGGCCTTTGGCTAACTTATCACTACACTTTCCATTTTGTCACATTTGCAGTTTACAATGATAACCAGCAAATGAACAATCACTCCTTGATTTCAGGAAGAGGATGAAATAATGTTTTATCAGCTCTAATAGCAAACTAATTAACATTAGCTCAGTGAGGTGGTTGATAACGAGGTCTCAGCTGATTAGCTTTAACATGATAAGTTTGTTAAAGAGTATTTTCATGGCTACATACATATTATACTAAACACTGAGGCTAAAGCTAAATTTCCTAGACAAAAAGTCAGCATTCTGTTTGGATGCTAACTTTAGAAAAGCATACTTGGACAAGCAACACAAAGGTTACATTTACACTTTAGTGTTTCTTCAAACCCTAGAGGAAAGGAAAATTCAAAATAAGATTTCTTCTTCCTTTTTTTCCCTAGACATTAGTGGGCTCAATTTAACATCGATATGAGATTTTGACCATTTTGTCATACATACAGCTCCTGAGAAATAAACTTCCTCTCAGCCTGATCCTAATGTAACATCTTAAAATGATGTATTAGTTTAGTCTGAAATAATCAGCTCTTGAGATAACAGTAAGATAATAATAATAATAATAATAATAATAATAATCTTTATTTGTAGAGCACTTTTCAAAAACAAGTTACAAAGTGCTTTAACAAGTGTAAAGATAATAATACCCAAAAGACAATAATACAAAAACAATACAAGATAAAAGCAAGAAAACATTGAAAAGACTAAAATACACGTTTAAGATAAATATAAAATAAGTACAATAGAATAAAATAAAAGGGATAAAGTAAAGTCAAATAAAATTGGGAAAGGCTCTCCTATAAAAGTATGATTTAAGAAGGGACTTTAAAGAGTTCACTGACTCAGCCGACCTGATTTCCTCGGGCAGGCTGTTCCAGAGCCTCGGGGCCCTGACAGCAAACGCTCTGTCCCCTTTAGTTTTCAGTCGAGACTCTGGAACAGACAGCAGACCTCTGCCCAAGGATCTCAAGGTACGTGCTGGTGTGTATGGGACTAAAAGGTCAGAAATATAACATGGAGAGAGGCCATGAAGAGCTTTAAAAGTGATCAATAAAATTTTCAAGTTGTTTTCTAAAACATACTGGGAGCCAGTGTAATGAAGCTAAAATAGTGGTAATGTGGTCATATTTCTTTGTTCTGGTTAAAAGCCTGGCAGCTGAGTTCTGGACAGTCTGGAGTCGATCAGTAGATTTTTGGGTTAAACAAGTGAAAAGGCTGTTGCAATAATCCAGGCGTGATGAGATGAAGGCATGTAAAATGGTTTCAGTGTCCTTAAAAGTTAACATAGATCGAATTTTTGCTATATTTCTAAATTGATAAAAACATGATTGAACAAGCTTTGTGGTGTGCTGCTCAAAATTTAAATTGCTATCAAACCAAACACCAAGGTTCTTTGCAACAGGCTTAATTTGATTTACTAGGGAACCAGCAGATGGCAAACAAATACTTCCATCTGCTGGGACCCAATGACTGGGATTTCTGTTTTGTCTGAGTTCAGCTGGAGGAAATTATTTGACATCCATTTTTTAACTTCACAAGGCAGTTGTTAAGTGAACTCAGCATTCCAGGGTCTGTGGATCTGATGGGCAAGTACATTTGTGTGTCATCAGCATAAATATGAAAAGAAATACCATGTTTACGGATAATATGTCTAATGGGAAGCAGATACAAGGAAAACAAAATGGGTCCTAAGACCGACCCCTGAGGCACACCATATTTAACTGGACAGAACGAAGAGACATAGTTGTTTACAGAAACGCAAAACTTCCTATTTGACAGGTAGGATGAAAACCATTCTAGGGCAGTACCAGAGATCCTCAGTTTGCCTAACATGATATTGTGATCAGTGGTGTCAAAAGCAGCGCTAAGGTCCAGGAGTACCAGGACTGAGCACATGCCATCATCAGCAGACATTAAAAGGTCATTGGTGACTTTAAGCAGGGCAGTCTCAGTGCTGTGGTACTTCCTGAAACAAGATTGAAACTTCTCATATAATTTGTTATTTTCCAGTACAGTGAGCAATTGTTTGGACACAATTCTTTCTAAAATCTTTGCAATAAAATGCAGTTTTGAAAATTGGTCTAAAATTTTGTGGGAGGGAGGGATCTAAACCAGGTTTCTTTAAAAGTGGGTTCACGCAAGCCATTTTAAAATAATCAGGGACACAACCAGTAGATAGGGAGCTGTTAGAAACAGAGATGAGGGAGGCCCAACAGAATCCATAACTTTCAGTAAAAACCTTGTAGGTATTACATCAAGTGGGCTGGAGGACACTCTCATTTGTGATACTGTTTTTAAAAGCTCAGACAAGCCGATGGGATAAAACTGGTTAAAACTCTCTTGTTGCTGGTGAGGGACCTCTGAGTAAGAAGCAGTGGGGGTAATAGAGGCTATATGACACCACCTTATTGGTAAAATAAGATAAAAACAATTCACAGTCATCATTACTTCCAGCTGAGACACAAGGAGGGGCAGGGTTTTTAAACAGAAACCTGGGATTGTGTTTATGTGTAGTAATGAGTTCAGAAAAATAATGTGTTCTCGCATCCTTAACCATGTTATTGTATTTAATTAATAAATCCTTCAGACTGAGGTAATGGACTTGGAGACTGGATGTTTTCCATCTGTGCTCTTCTTTCCTGCATTCCCTTTTTAGGCTGCGAATGCTGTCATTTATCCAGGGTTGCTTACTAGCTTTAGACATAGGCCTAACCTTTAGAGGAGCAGTAATATTTAGTGCATATGGGAGAGGGACTCTTGCACTGTAGAGCCCTGTACAATAATTATAGCAAGTCAACAATGAACAACAAGTCAACATTGTTGTTTCTGTGCATCTACTATCAGGCATAACTATCTGCGACCCAGTCCTCTGCACAGATTCATTCCCCATGCTCTTGCTACTCATCGCTAGATTGTTCCATTCCTTCAGTGGTATATTAAATCTCAGCCAACCTGCCTCCATTGAATTCTCTTGTGTTTTTTTGATTTTGCCTAGTGCTTTTTTACTGATGTTTTTACTGTGCTCCAGGCTTCCAGTACTAGACATAATCATTTCAAAAGTTCCATGTCTCCAGTCTCATCTGAGGAACCCATTCAGCAAGGTAGAGCCTGTCTCTCCCTTTCTGATCATCAGCTAGTCAATGCATTTACTATGGAAAGACAGATCACATTCTCATTTCCTGCCCCTTACTGCCAAAAGCTCTGGCTCATCAGTGAAAGAAGGGGTCCTGATAAGCCGTTCTCCCGCCTTACAACCAACTAACCAACTGTAACTGGAGGCTTCTTTGTTGTGTTTTAACATAGCTATTCCTTTGCTAGCCCTAGTGTATTCCAGAGCATATGACAGTTTCGTAGATTGTGCTGTAGTTGGCATCTCTGTGAGAGCCCTCCCTGAGACTACAGATGTGAACTCGTTAGATGGAAGACTCCTCATTCTCTCTGGAAACCACATTTTCACAGAGTCCATTAAGTTTCTGATTATCTGCTCCATTGAGCCATGATTCTCCAGCAGTCCGTTTGGCTTTAAAGCTATAAAACACACTTTGACTGGTCCACTGGCAAAATGGAGCACTTTCTGCCACTTCCACGTTTCATGTCTGCACTTGTTCCCAACCAGCTAACAACAGCACCCATTACTGAACCTCCTGACTTGTCACAAGTTCCCTCTGTGTACCACAATCTAGGGTGTTTAATAAGCATAGAGCCTTGTCCTTGCCACCCAACAGACCCTATGGTTGTGCCATTAACTTACATCCGAGGACTCACTTTTCAGTAGATTGTATGATATTTCCCATCCTGAGAAAAAAGCAATGGAGAAAGATATACACAACTCCCTGACAGGTTTGATTCAACCCTCTTGTCAGGTTTTTCTTTGTTAAGAAGAAAGATCAGAAGATCTGGCCATTCATAGACTTCCTTGGACATACCTGCATTGATTCCAGTTTTCAGTCTTTACACCAAAATCTCCGGAATGCCTACCCCTTGATTCACATTCTTGAGGGAGATCCGTGGAATATGGCATTAAATATACGTCTTTGGAACATTTTGAGTACCTTCCAAGGTAGGAGGGGACGTTCCTGTATCCATGTGTAACATTCCCTGAAAGTTCTGTAAAGGTGACGAA